TTAGGACCGACGCTAGACTTCCTCTCTTTTCTATAAGATATAAAAGGCGAAATTGATGCTCTTAACTACCCCTTTTTCTTTGAAAAAACGGAACGAATCGTCGATTTCAAACTGAACTAACCCTTTTTTGCCCGCTCAATTTTAGCGTCACAAACGGCGGATAGTGAAGTATAGTTGTGTAAAAAACTTATTTTTACCTTTTTGTGATTTTTAGGTCAAACTAACCTTATATGTTTAAAATAATGTATTTTAAATCAAATCTCACAAAAATAATGAAATAGCCTTATTTCATGTAAATAATACTTTTGCACAATTTGAAGAAGAAGTTTGTATAATAACTTAGATTATTAAACAAATTTTACTTGTATCCCCCCCCCCTAAAACTTGGAAAATTTCGAAAAATAAAGGGGTGTGAACTCACCTTATGCGTTTTCTTGACGAGTGGGAGGTTGTTGATGAGGAGTTTCAAGTTAAGAACACTTGAAAAATACTTGAAGATTTGATGGTCCTATGGACATTAATACATGAATATGTGGGTAAGAGTTTTAAGATTAGTATAGAGATATTAGGAGTTGAAGGAAAATGCTTACCAAAAAGATTCAAGAACAATCTTGGAAAAAAGTCCTTGCTAGAGAGAGAGTGAGAGTTATTCTTGGAGAGAAATGTGAATTTATGGAAGAAATGGTGAAAATGAAGAATAAACTTGTGAATCGTGGGTTATAAGGAAGAAGTGAAGCAAGTGGATGGGAGGAGTTATGATGGGGACAATGAATTGACCAATGGAGGATAGGAGAAGTGACATAAAGGTGCCTTGAGAAAAGATGGGAGAACCACTTGTGCTAATACTTTATGATTAAGATAATATAATATCTTTATAATCTTAGATATTATTTTATGCAAATGTGTTTTATATATAATAAAGCTTCAAGATGGGCATTAAATATGAGTTTATAGGGTCTAAGATGTGGAAAATATGAGTTTGATGAAAATCCCAACGTCAAATCCCTTAAAATGAAGGAAAGTCCGAAATGATAAAAAATCCAGAGTAAGGTCCGAAGTTGCGAGGGGTCCGGAGTCAATCAGGAGTTTCGTAGTGGGTGTGTGCAAAGTCAGCAGCCTTCCGAGTTGTTTCGGTTCCGAAGTGCACAACCTTCCGAGATGCGAAGGTCTGAGATGCGAGATTGTCCGATGTGGCTAATTATTTCGAAGTTGTGGAATATTCCGGAGTGAGAGGGTTCTGAAGCCAATCAGAAGTTTCGAAGTCAGAAGATGTTCCGGAGTCAGAAGGTTTCGGGCTCAGAAGGTGCTCCAGAGTCAGAAGGTTCCGAAGTGAGAAGTGTTCCGGGGTGAGAAGTGTTATTTTTGTTATCAAGGGAGATTTGTGAGAGATTTGATATATATATATATATATATATATATATATATATATATATATATATATATATATATATATATATATATATATATAGAGAGAGAGAGAGAGAGAGAGATTTGTGAGAGATTTGAGATATAGAGAGAGGTTTGGGAGAGATTTGAGATAAAGATAGTTTATATATATATATATATATATATATATATATATATATATATATATATATATATATATATATATATATATATATATATATACTTTGTATTATAATTGCAAGTCGTACATTAGGAAACCTAGCCTTTGTCTTGAAATCTTAATGCTAGTTGTGTTGACTTGGTTGACTTTGTTTGACTTTGCTTGACCAAAATTGACGGTTGTCACACCATGAGATGCCCTAATGGCAAAAGTTGCAACTTTGGATCAGGGGGAGTACGCTAAGCGTACGGAAGGGTACACTGAGCGTACTAGGCGCACCCTAGTACGCTGGGCGTACACTTGTGTACGTTGGGCGTACTCACGTCTATATAAGTATCCTTATGAGTTCATAACCCTCTACCATTCCAGCCTCCATAGTTTTTAGCTGTTTTCTCCAATCCCTAACCTCTCTCTTGAGCGTATGAGCTAAAAGTATGTGTTTTGAGTAGTTGAAGAAGAAGAAGTTGCATCAAAGTGTTGGAGAAGTGAGGCAAGCTTGAAGATCTGAGGTTATCTTGTCCTCTAGAAGCTCCAGGAGGTAAAAAGCCTCTGCCTTTATGCTTATATGATGTAGATCTTGCCTTGATAGCTTTATGACACCTTTCTTGTCCCAAAAAAGTCCCAATATTGTGCATGTTATGTTTTGGACGTGTTAAGCTGTCCTTTCAGACCCTAGGAAGGGTTCTAAGTGATAAAAATGAGGTCCCAATGGCTAGAAGTGTTCCATGCAAGTGGTAGAAAAGGTCTTAATGGATTAAGACATTGCATTAAGGACTTTCTAGACGTTAAAAGTCTTAAAGTTCGAGACTTTATGGTGCTAAGACACATTTGGTCGATGGATCTAGAAATTGGGCTTAAGTGCTTAAGCCATTAAGCACTTATTTGAGTTTTGAGAACAGAGAGGGTACGCCCCGCGTACGCAGTCAACATCCCCGTTTTCCAGTCAACGCGAGGCTCACATACGCCCTCTGATGGGTTTTTGCGAATTGGGCTTCGGATTTGGGCCACCTTTAGGCCGAGTGACTTAGACTCTTATTGGGCTTTCTGAGTAGAAGTGTTTTGGGCCAATTTTGGAAGTGGATATTAGGATGAGGCCCAATTAGAGAGTTGGGCCCAATTTGGAAAATTGGGCCAATTATGGGCCTTGTATATTGGGCTCTTGGATTAAGGAATTGGAGTTGGGCCTTGGCCCAACTTAAGGAAATGATAAAATGAACTATTACCCTATGTTTGGGCCCTTAGCCAAGATTGATATTCCAACTGTTGATTAGTGTTCGTTTATCGTGATAGTTCAGGATTTTCAGTGAGTCAGCAGTCAGAGGTTTTCAGTTCAGTTCGACATTGTGAGGTGAGTTCTTCTCACTATATCAACAAGGTCTAAGGCACCAAGGCCGACCCTTTTTGGATTGTATACTGGTTATAGGATGATGTTATATTTAGTGATTTGTTAGATATGTATCCTGGTATATAGGATGATGTTATGATTAGTGATCTGCTAGATCTGTATGACTGTCTGTACATGCTAGCTAGCGTTTGATATATATGTGTTGATTGTGTTTGTGAGTGGGTTGAGGCGGTCCTGCTTTGTGCTCTAGGCCAACAGACCCAGGGCGGCCCGGATAGACTGAAGGCCTATCAGGGCGTACCAGTCAGACCGAAGTCCCGGAGAACGGTCCAGACAGGATGAAGGCCCGGTAGGGCCGGACCAGACATGTTGAAGGTTCTGAGAGTGGGCCAGATAGACTGAAGGCTCGGCGACGGCGGTCCAGTCATACCGAAGACTCTGTTTGCATACTGTTCGTTATGATATTGTTCTGGTTTGTATGGCGTTGGTATTTTGGGGGAACTCACTAAGCTTCTGGCTTACAGTTGTGGATTTTGTTTCAGGTACATCGGATGATCGTGGGAAGGCGAAGGCTTGATCGTGCACCTTCTCACATTTTATGACTTTGATTTCTTGGATTCTATGATATGAAACTATTTTGAAAACATTTTGTAATAACTAATGGCTTTTGGATGTTTGAAAAAGTTTTAAACTTTTATGAATTTTATGGATGTTACACTTTCTCAGTTCGTTTTCTCTCACAATGAACAACCACCACTGACACCACCATTTTGACCGGAGATCGTATCAACCGGTGGATTGATGGAGGTTTGGTGACACCACCATTTAGGGGTTTCGATGGATCTTCACGAAATCATCGCCACGTACCGGCGATATCCGTTTTTTACACCATAGCTCTGACGGAGGTTTTGTGACACACTGTCCGTCTCTCTCCTTCTCCGGCGGGGTGCCAACGTTTGCAAAAACCCTAGCGTCGTCGCCCTTATAGTTTTTCGAAACCCTCGCTTTTCAAATCCTGTCACCCTATTTCTCTATCTTATTCTCGCTGAATGACGACCAAAGCTATCACCCTAAATCCTCACGACAAACATATGAAAAACGAAGGATGGCAACTACAAAGGGTTTTCGAAGACGAGAGGTTTCTCGTCGGACAACCTTTTTCCTTTTCTTCTGCAAATAAGATATTAAACAATGAGGTTTTGAGGATTTGGAAAGTTGAGTTTTCATATTAGAAAATTGAGTTTTTAGAGTTTTTGTTTAAAGATCTGGATAATTTTAGGGTTTTTGATTTTGCAAATTTGGAAAATGTATTTTTGTTCTCGAGATCTAAAAAAACCAAGTTTGCTGAAATATCTTGTTCTTGAGTAATTTTGTTGTTGTTTGAGTGTTTTGGAAAACTTGAGTTTGCAGAAAAATCGTTTGTTCATGTTTGAGCTTGCAGATCTGAAAAAAATGACTGTTTTGTGGTGTCCGATGGTGGAGGTGATGTCCGACGATGGTGTTGGTATCTAGTGAGGGTGTTCCGATACCTAATTAAATGGAAGAGAATATAAGGTGTTGATAGGGAATGAGTACGTGGGGTAAGTGAGGTGTTTCTTTTTGTCTTGTTTTTTTTTAATTAGAAAAATGTAAAATAATTTAAAAAATTATAAAAGAAAAATATCAAGGCCAAGTCCACCATTATAAAAAGTTTCAAAAATTTTAGACTAGACTCGCAACAAAATAAACTTTTTAGAGCTTTGATACAACTCCAAAACATTTTAAACCAAAATCTCAATTTTTGACAAACCATATCCACAAAATTATACAATTTTGTCTTTTAGAAACCTCCACTTTAAAACATATCAAAAAGTCACTTTAAAAACACTTATCAATAGCCAAACAGTTTTTTAGACTTATTGATTGATTTTTTTAAAGCCAATAAGTTATTTTGTAAAACAGTCCTAATCACCCCCTAAATCTTTTAATTAATTTTTAATTATAAGTTTGAATTATTTTGCTAAAAAGACTTACCGACTGAAATAAGTTTCACAAAAGTAAAATAAAATAAAAACTACAAAAATGAACACATAATAAAAAAGCCACATATTTTAGAACACCAATCTTTCTTTTTATTATTTATACCTAAAATTAACCATTGCAAAACTGTTATAAATACTACAATAATTAAAATACAAACACCATTCAAAAACCACAATTAAAAAAAAAATGTCAAATAAAACTAGTTGCCACGTGGCAAAACAACAAGAGCACATAGGCTTGAGTCGAGTCACATATAAAACACAATCAAGATTTACATGCCTTTGCTCTTTACACTGATACACTTTATCAAAACGCGAGGCCAAATCGCAATCATATGCTTCAAAGAATTGTGAAACAATTACTGTTACTCTTGCTGATACTGATACTGTTGTATCCATTAGCTTAGCAGGAACCTGAATATGTCGCCTAGCGAAATGATTCCTTCTACCCGCTTGCTTCCAGCCTCCACAATCACAACCCGTCTTACCCCTGACCCGAAAAAACTCACAATGTCAATTTTGCCCTCTCATGTATTTTCCTTATAATTTATCCACATAAAAAACTTTATATAATATTTACTATTTACCTGGTTTTGCTAATCTTTCCATGACTTTATGCAGAGAATCTGAGCGTAGACACATGTGGCATCTTTGTGGGGTCCCACCATGAGAAGCATAAGGTTCTTGTCCCAGCTGCAAAGCCTGAGATTACCGAATTTAATTTTAGTTTAATTTTTTATTTTTATAAACAAAATTGAAATATGTTTACTTGCCTGATGAATAGTCATTTCTTCAAGGTTAATATGCGTATAAATTTTATCTTTTGCCAAAGCAGTAATATCACTGTAAAAAAAAATTAATTCGATAAAAACAATTTTAAAGTTTAAACTCAAAAAAAAAAAAAAGTAAATATTAATGTTTTACCTTCGAGAGTATACATCCAACAACGAGTCATTATCATCAACAATAGGAATTGAGCTAACTTCAGCTGCAAAAAAGAAGATAGAAAATGTATAAAACCTGAACATAGTTAAAATGACGAATATACCCTCAACCCTATAACTAAAACACACACCTTGCACAAACAAATTTAGTGCTGAACTTAGAGAAGAATTCGGTTTCAAAATTGCTAATGGTTGTCTATTTGTTTCTCCAATTTTTGGAACCCATGTTCCTAAAGGAAGTGTACAAATTGGAAGTTGCAATATAGGCAATGAGCTTGTAGAATGTCTAAAGTATCTGCAAACAACTGAATTAGCAAGATGCAATTAGTAACATAACCCAAAAAATAAATAAATAAACAAATAAAATCTTACGTTTTAATATTTCAGAAAGCGAAGCAAGATATAATAGTTGTGGATATGAACCATCATCTGAGAATGAATGAGTTACAGGAACTGTAGCTACACGATTTTGCAGTATCTTCAATGTCACATCTTTTAAGTTTTCATCGGGTCCCACCTGAATTGATTGATATGTACAAATACATAAGGAACAGCTCTTGTTATCACAAACAAGGGTAAAAATGTCCAAAAGAAATACTCACCCGAACTAGTTTTTTAGAAAATATTTTACCCTGATCAATAGTTTGTTTGCTTAGATATAACTTTGCTTCTTTCCAAGCAGATATTGTATGTGTCTCAAGTTCTTCCTCTGTTAGATTGGATCCATGATTACCAAGCTGCAAAAGAATTAAATCAGAAATCAGCCATTTTTTTAATCAAGAATACCATAAATTAAAATTATATATAGTCATCTTGATAAGTTATATTTCTGATTGAAAAAGATCCAATTCCAGACCTCAAAACAAATAAATAGTCTTGGATTCGCCTTCAACTTACCTCTCGCATAATTAAAATAAAATCCAGTGCACTTAAAACACCAACAAACTGACCCTTGCTGAAGTCCCAAAGAGGAGCTGTTGAAATTCCCTGAAAAAAATCGTACATATAAAAGAATAATTATGATGAAAATTCTATATAAAGATTCAAGTATACAAGGGTCATACATACCTGCTCAAAAAGGATATGAAATGCTTGCTTTACAGGCAATTCAACATCTAAGGCAATAACCTGAGAACAAGACAAATAAGAAAAAGAATGTAAAAAAAATAAATCTTCAAAATGATATAAACTTTATAGAATACCAAGATTCTTAATCAGACCTTGCCAGACTCAGGGAGCAGTTCATATGCCATATGTGTAGACAGGAATACAGAAATCCTTTGACGGGATACTGCCAGGTCAGCATCTGATATCCTTGTCAACGGGTCATGTGATGTACAATCTGAAACCCTAACCTGCAATAAAACAATTTCCTTGCTTTAAGATAACAAATCAAAAGACTCCTATAGAAAATAAGTGGAAATAATTATGTGATGAAAGATTTTATAGTTGACAAAGAGAATGATGAAAGGTTTCAGCAACTATTTATGCTATTTCTTACCACTCTCTGAAAGACCTCATTGTCAACATCCATGCTTGAACCAGAAGTTGTATGTGGGGTCAAGACTGAAGGAGTGAAGTCTGGCTCCCTAGCTAAGAGTATGGTATTCACAACACCATAATTACCAGTTACAAAAGGTTGGTGTTCATCATGCCTCCATTCACCATCAACAATGAATTTATACTATGAAGTATGAAGATTAAGTTATTAATCTTGAGAACAAAGAACCCTAAATGTTTCAAGTATGGAAGAGCTAACCTGATGGTAACCAGGTGGTAAGCTGCATATGGTTTGAAACACAGTAGGGCATCCCTCAACGGGGGTCATTGGCCAGTGCTCAGACCACCTTCAGGAAATGCAGATGACACCGATCAAAGAAAGTTTGGGGGTATTCAACTATTCAATGAGGCAATATCACAAACACTTGGTGTGCAAAAAAGTAGGATTGAAATCTTACCCTGTAAAAGAACCGCTTAAGTATACACTTCTTCCCCCGTAAGGCCATACAAACCTCGCTGGTGTAAGAATTGTTCCTGCACCACCACCTTCCCGGCCATAATCCATTCCTGAAGCAGCCATTCTCTTTTCCGCTTGTAATCAAATTAAGCTAAATTTCCGACTTTTACCCCAGGAATGGGAGATTAAAATTAAATACAGATACAAAAAAACTCAGATCGAACAGCTTTCGTAGGACCCTCAGCTCTAAATTACAACAAAAAGTTATGTCTGACCGAAGATGGAAAGATCGGTAGCAAAACTCTATTAGAGCTCAGGCTGGACTTCTCTCCAAGAGCAAATGTTTTACATCAAAAGCCCGAAAGCATTCTCATGCACATAAGAAATTCGAAACCAATAAAAGAATTCGAATGGAATGCAATGAACCCTAATGTGAATCAAATCGAACAAAAATACTGAGGAATTCGATCTCGATAAAAATTCGAAAGCGATGACGATACAACCCTAGAGCGAAAAAGATCGAAGCTTTTTATTTGTGTAAATTCGCAAAACCCTTTTATGTTTTCCAATGAAAAAGCTGAATCTTTTTGTGTATAAACCTTTTCCCCGTCGGATGTATGCGTAGGGTGAAGTAATTTGAAGATTTGGGGAAATTGTATTGAAGTTGCGTTGCGTAGTCACGTACTCAACCGTTCATTGGACAACAACGGACCCAAACCAACAAAGATGGTGAAAATCTCAAAGTGAATACTTTTTGTTAAATTTTATTTAAAGAAATGTCTTTTTTATATGAATAGTAAGATAAGATATTTTAATTGTTAATTAATTTATCCTCGAATTTTATCCATTTTCATTAAGTCACATATATTACAACTAACTTAACCATATAGAAACAACAATAATTTACGAATTTTATAAGTCGCATTGTTTAAAATGGATAAAAGTTAATGTGCGTTGATATTGTAAATAACAAAATAGATTTGTGTGGTTTGTAATGTTTTTTCCAAAATAAATTTATTTTACAAAAATGATCCTTACTAGGACATGCCATAAATAAACTACAAGATAGTGGATAGTGGATAACAGCCGTAAAGATTGATGGCGTGATCTTCAAACTGCTAATGGCTAAATGACTTCAGATTGTATCTCATCAATCCACATTCTGCTAGGAACACTTGTGTTTCAACAATCTCGTCCTAAGTGACACGTAACTGAAGATCTCTTCATTCTATATCCACAAACGACAAACACTTTTGCCATAACTTTCTAACACCAGGAAGTCATTTTAGCTCGAGAAGGAATTGATCTTTGACTTTGGATGTGCCGGAGCGATTTCCAGCATAATAAAACCAAAGACTAAGTAGTTTGAGAAGAGATGCTTTTCACGAAGTCTTGAAGAAGCATTTTCTAAACCCTTCTGTCGAAAACCAATCCAATTTTTGGATTGTTGGTCAATCTGTAACTTATCTTTTCAATGTTGTCAAGAGAGATATCTGGATCGGGAATAAGGGAAATTTGTTTCCATTTGTCATAAAACTCCCCATCAATCCTGCTAAAATCAGCAACTAACCATATTCTCTAATTACCAAGTATGGTTCCTGGAACTTGTTATTAGTGGATCTATTGTTCTCGTACCATTTCCCAAGAGACAATACATCAGCATGGTTCATGAATGGAAAGTTTGTTTGGGTAACATTGCCTTTTTCACCATTAGCTCTCTTGAAGAAGTATTGAACGTGTTGAAAGATCAGACTTTGATTTCATTGAATATGTTGATTTGTTTAGATGACCAAACAACGTTCACTCCTTGATACCATTGGTGTTGGTAATCTATCAACCTTTGTCTTTCTCTACCAAGGAGCTCAGTAATAGGACAATCAAAAGGATGTGTATCAAGTGGTTGTATCCATAGACCATTTTGGAGAGTTAGGAATATCCTAATTTTCAATAATATCAGCAAGGGGTTTGAATGAGAACCGAGGAGCATAACTTTCACCAGTGAGAAGGATGATGTCATCCATCCACATTTCGATTCATCAATGACTTAAGGATTCCCTTTATTGAGAATTAAGGAAATTGGTTTATCATCATCTTCTTCGTCTTCATCTTCATCAACTATGATTTTGTCATCCTCATCAATAGACAAATCTTTCAACAAATCTTCTTCAATTGGGCTTGACCCAACTGTTGGATTAGGTGTCTAAGCCCATAACTATAATTGATATATACTTGAATTGATAGCAACATAGTCCTTTTTGGTTGCCCTCAAACCTAGCAATTGGACATGATGACTTTTAGAGAGAGAGAGAGATTAATATATTATGTGATTAATAAGTTAATATAAAAAGTTTATTAATGTATTATGAAAATAATATATTAATTATAAAAGCTATTATATAATTAATAATTGATAAGAAATTAATTGGAACTAATTTTGAGAATAATAAAATTAATTAAAAGTGTAGGGTCTAAAGTGCAGTTGTTCAATAGTTGAACAAAAGGCTCCATAACCTTCTAACCCTAGGGGTGGACGGTTTTGAGGGGATATTCTAGGGTTAGGGATGTCAACAGGACCAAACGGGGGGGCGGAAATAGATGCCCCCGCCCCGCCCCCGAAATCAACTGTTGTCCCCGCTCCCGCCCCCGGACACCTCTATTGCCCCCGATCCCGCCCCCGTTTATGGGCTTAAAATTGATTTTTTTCTAAAAAATGGTAATTGTGGGTTTTAAAAAAAAACTACTTTTCATAAATTAATTCTCAACAAACATCAAAATTTAAATCACACCAACATCATAGCAAACATCAAGATAGCTAAACTGAAAATTATCACAACAATCTTTCACAGCAACTTAAATACAATAACAATTCAGAAATCAATTTACAGCAAGTTAAATCCAATATCAATTCAGTATAAATCAATTCAGAAATTAACTCACTACAACTAAAATCTAATTTCAATTCAAAAATCATAAAAGAAATCAGAATCGAAATAAGCAAACTATCAATAGAAATCAATCCAGAAATCATAGTCTTAATTTAGAAAAGAAACCATAAAATCGACAATCATACAAATTAGAAAACTGAACTGGAAAAGAAATCATTGTCTCGTTTGAATTGGACCAAATAAGAAATTACCAAAACCGTCACAGAAAAAAGAGTGCTTGATGTCAGAGACAAGAAGAACTATTCACTGGCGCTGGCGGAGGAAGGTATGTCGTCGGCAAGTAGACGGCGACTGGCAGGCGGCGATAGGTGAAGTCGAGCGGTACTATGTCAACGTTCCGTTCGTGGTCTTGTACTCTTGTCGCCGACTCGTTCGATTGCAATAGAGGGGATGTGAGTCAGTGACTCAGAGAGTGTAATTTGTGAACCGTGAAGAGTTAAGACGGAGAAGAAGACGTGATTACTAGAGAGTACAGTCAAGAAATTGGGAATTTTCTATAGAGGGGAAGAGAGAAGTCGACTTGAAGGATGAAGCCGTATGCGTGAAGTAGGATTGCGGAAGGAAAAGGAAAGTAGGAAACCCTAAAACTAGATAATCTATTTTCTATATATATATATATATATATATATATATATATATATATATATATATATATATATATATTATATTAAATATTTTTTATATCAATATACAAACGGGCCCCCGCGGGAGTACGGGACGGAAATGCCTACTCCCGACCCCGATCCCGAAAATAAACGGGGTTTAATCCCGCCCCCGCTCCCGCTCCCGAATTTTTTTTAAAAATTAGTCCCATACGGTATCGGGGTCCCACGGGAACGAGATCCCACAAGGGTTTTTGACATCCCTATCTAGGGTTTCTAAAATATACCATATGGATAAATAAGAAATGAGATAAATACCAGATTTGAAATATTAATTTAATATTCCAATCAGGGTTATCTAGGGTTTTCTTGTACCACTATATAAAGACCCTAAGGCCTCCTAATTTCAGCCACTCCTTCTCCCAAAGGGATAGCCGAAATTCTTACTTTCCCCTTCTCATCTCTCTTAAGCCTCCAACTTGCTAGTTTGAGTGTGAGCTATTAGATGCACGACAATGGTGGTGCTTGTTTCCAAGAGATCTACAAGTGAAGGATTCTTATTATATGCTACAATAACAATAAGGTATGTAAACCTAAACCCTATTACGATTTTCGAAATATACCCATGGTTTCTTCTTTGATGTTCTTAGTTATAGGTTCAATAGTGAAAACATAGATCTTTAGGTTGCATGTAAATTAAGGGTTTTAGTTTATTTGTTTTACTTAAATCATATCAGTGGTATCAGAGCGTTTGGTTTGTTTTTAATTGAATTGCTATAATTGTTGAATTTGATCAATTAGGGTTTATAGAAATTAAACCCTAAAAGCCAAGAATTCCGACTAGGGTTAGGGTTTTTCGTAACCCTAGTCCCTTCCCCTTGATTTCAAAATTTAGGGTTATGGTTTTGAAACCCTAGCCTTCCTCCACAAGTTTTCGAAAATGGCTAGGTTGTTAGGGTTTCCCATCTTACATAATTGTTAATTTAATTTGATTAAAAATGATTATTATAAAATTGGATAACTCTTACACCATAATTTTTCGAAAATTAGAGGGTTAGAATTAAGATTAAATTATTTGATTAATTAGTTAATCCTTATTTGATTTAATTTAATTAATTGTTAAATTAATAGATAAATATTAAATCATTTGGTTTGTTTTTAAATTTAAATTAACTGTTTATTAATTTTCAAAATTTAAATTATAACCTAGTGTTTTGAAAAGTTTTAAAATACACTTTATATATAATATTAAATGTTAATTACTATATGTATAAGATCAAGTCAATCAAGTCGCTAGTATGCCTCATTCACGAAGCCGGTATATAAGGGGAGTATAAGGAAACTGCCTATAAAATGGTAGTTGAATGGATGTCAACTATCACCAACTGCTTCCTTGATTGGTGGAGGGTCGTTAGCAGAACGGACTTGATAGGACAACTAAATCTCATTAAAAGTATAATGTTATTAAAATACTAGAACATTTTATTTAAAATCCCAAATCTAGTTACTTTAAAAAAATGTGAATTAGTATGGTAACCCATGAAATTACACATTACACTTTATAAGTCGTTAGTGAAGCAACAAACTAATAGGGACCAATAAAAAGTTGTAATGGGTATCTCATAAATTATCATTGTTGATGGAGTGTGTGTGGTTTACCCGCGCATCAATTGGGATGATAAATGACAGTGAGGTTACCAAGCACATTTGCATGGTTATTCATATCTTGTTTGTGATCCTCGGTATCCCAGTCACAAATAGAAGAGCATAATCTGAGATTAAACATGTCATTGAATAGTTTCAATGAATCTAAAAAAAGACCTAGGAATTTCACTTAATATCATTTCTTATCTGATGGAATTGGTAAATCGTCATTTACCAACCTTTATAAAATTTACAATTAGGATTCTCCGTTCCTGAATGCTGCTTGCTTTGTGCTTTGTGGGACTCTTAGTGATGTGAATTGACTGCTATGTGAATATGCTAAGTCACATGTGACACATGTTAAATAATCATAGAGTGACGGATTTGACCCTATTGTGCAGCTCTTGTTTGAGTTCAACCGTTATAGGGTTGAGTCTTTTACTCAAAGGATTATCTGATCTCTTTTTCATGTGACTATATTCATGAGGAAGCTAGTTGACATTGGTGGGAGTCCTTCAACATCTGAGGGCTAGGTGAGGTC